CCCCGGGGGGGGGGGGAGGGGCAGCAGGTGAAGAATCCATCCTAAGGACCCTGGAAGGTCAGACAAGGCCAAGGCCTCTGGCCAGGAGGCTGCCCCAGCCCACAGCAGGTAGGGAAAGGGTAAGGCTGCCCCAGTCCTGGTCCTCTAGGGCTCTGTGATGTTCTGCAAATGTAGAGGGCAAAGCTGAGTGGGAGACACAGGGACTTGGGGACCCTGGCTCTCATGGCTCCCTGGATATTGCTGAAGAAGCTTAGTGCTGGTCTGGAACACCAGAACCAACAGTGGCTGAGATGCTATGACCTCCATGGCCAGGGTACTTCAGGCACTTAAGATGGCCCACCCCGCAACCTCCAGGTCTGGCCCTTCATACCCTTTACCCCCCCCCCCCCTTTTGGTGCTGTTTTAGAATCCAGGTCCTGCCTGGCTAGGTGAGCGCTCAGCTCTCAGCTACATCCCCAGCTCCATCTTCTCCAGTTCTTTTGTGCATCCCCAGCATCCCCTGTGCTGGCTCATCGGGATCTGTGTGCGGTTGGGGAGGGTCAGAGGGCAATGCTCCCTTCCCAGCAGGATCCAGGGAGTAGCCCAGAGTGTGAAGGAGAGCAAGGAGACACCTGCAGAGGCCATCTGGGCTGCCAAGCCCCAGAAATGCATGTGGCATCCAGGCCAGGCAAGGGCCCCTAAAGGGGACACTGACTCCCTAGGCGACTAGAGGGACCAAGAATCCAGCTGCACAAGAAGGAAGCTCAAAGCAGAGCACTGTCCCTCCTCCTCCTCCTCCTCCTCCTCCTCCTCCTCCTCCTCTCAGACCCAAGAGGGGTCTCTGATGATGGGAGAGACGGAGAGCTCTCCAGCTATTTCTGGACTGAGGAACCTGCCCAGCAGCCTGTGGGGTGGAGAAAGGCAAAGCCACCTCGCCCAAGGCCTGAGTGTCTGTTGGGCACTGTCTTCCGGATGTGGGCTCAGGAATGCCACCCCAGGCCTGCAGAGCAACCCAGGAGACAAGGCCACTGAACGGCCTTCCTCTGTAGGCCCCTCCTGAGCTGCCTCAGGGCAGGGATGCCCCAGCACCCTCAGCACCTCCTGCTCTTCTGGTCACTTCACCTCTGGTCCCTGTCACCAGGTCCAAAGGTTCCCCTTGTACTCAGGGGTAGAACTGTGTCTTTAAATTGCAAAACTGGGGCCATTTTATCTTTTTGTTACCACACAACCGTTAATAGTGCCTGCCTGAGCCGTCATCATCCCCCCCGTGGAACTTGGCTTCCCCGTCTGCCACACACCCCGTGAAATGGAATTGCAAGTAAGTTGGCAGGCAGGACCAGGTGCCTGCTGCAGGGTAGGAGGCAGGGGCATGCAGCTGAAGGGTCAGGTGAAAGGTTTTGGGGGACTTGGGACACAAGAGACCTCTGCCACTAGGGGAGGATGGCCTGCCCTTCCTGACCACACAGGACTCCTGCCGGGAAGAGGGGGGAGACGTAGACTGGGGCTTGGTTGTGAGGACTGCTCCCCAACACAGCAAGCACATGCACACTCCCTACCCAGAAGGCCAGCCAACCCTCCTGTCCCGCTGGGGGAGCAGCCAGGAGGGCCAAGGCCTCTCTCCACACTGTGGGCATGCTGCACTTACGGGGGTACATGGAGCCAGAGGCTGAGGTTACCGACTGTAGTCAATAACCAGGGCTGCCAGTTCCCCTCTACAGACAAGGGACCCAGCAACTGCCCTCTTGGACCCACACACTGCTCGGCTCTCCAGATGGGGGCAGGGCAGTGACACTGGGGGACTGTAGGCAGAGGCTAGGTTTCTGAGGGAGGGGCACTAGGAGGGACAAATCTGAGCCAGAGTCCCGGGAAGGCCCTCTGCCCCTCCCCCAGGCCTCTTAATCTTTAACTGCTTCAGGGCTAACCCTGACCCCTGAAACAAACAGGGCCGGCTCTTCCCAGTTCTAGGCACCTCCCTTGGGAGGAAAGAGCTTTGGGCTGGAAAGAGACGTCTTAAAGGAAGGCTGGAGGAGGACCACGTGGAGCACAGGACAGGATGCCCCCACAGGTGCTGAGGGCTCAGCTAACTTTACCCCATTTTCTCCAGTGTGAGCTTTGTCCGAGAGTCGCCAGAGGCCAGCCAGCAGGAGTGGGACAAGGTGGACTTAGGACCCTGACTGGAGTCTGAAGGCCAAGGAGCAGAATGGTCGAGTAGAGGTTGCTCCAACTTCAGTCAGAGGATACCGTGGTCCCTGGAGTATGCAGGGGAGGGGGCTTCCTCTAGAAATCTGCTGGGCTATTGTTGCACTTTCCAAAGCCATGGAACATTTCCAGGAGGCAGTGACAACCCCAAATAATAATAATAACGCCCCTCCCCCAGCAGCAGGAATTCTGGAAAAAACAGCTGCTGCCGTTATCGCCCCAGGAAAAAACAAGGTCAGGCGCTGCAAAGATTTAATTTAAGGTGCGCCCCCGCGGCCTGCGGGCCACGTACCAGCACGCACGCGTCCTTCGAGCGCGGGGGTCGAAGCCTGTGGGAACCCGGGGGCACCCCGGCTGTCTCTGCATCCGCCGAGAGCCGGGCGCAGCAGACCTAGCTCCAGACGTCTCAGCAGGGAGTCTGGGGCCGGCCCACTGTCGCCTGGGGCCGTGAGCGGACCTCACTCAGGCTGCTTGCTGCCCCGAGCTTCTGGGGGGCTAAATCAGTCTCCAACAAAGCATTCTGAAATGAGGGGCTCTGTCAGGAGAACACAGCCCGACCTTAATCAGAAGTGACGGCAGAGTGGGCCGCGGGCGCTGGCAGGCCAGGTCGGCTGGAGCCCAAAGACCCTTGTCCTTGTCGGCTGCGGCTCGCAGGACTGGCTCCGGCGCACAGGGGAGGGAGGCTGGAGAGCGCCTCCGGCCGCCGCCCAGTCCCCACCGGCCACACTTGCCGAAGGTGGAGAGAGCCCAGGTGGGGCACACAGAGAGGCTGGGGCCAGCTCCGGGTACAGCCGCCTGCGGAGCCTTGGTGGTGGCCTCTGGCGCGGAGGACAGACGTCCACACCACGCAGCACTCGAGGGGAAACTCTCTGCGATAGGAGCGCGGTGCGGCTAAGAGCGCGCTTCCTTGGCGCTCGGCGCCAGCCTGGGGAAGCCGTGAAGTCGCCAAGGTGGGCAGAGGCTGCAGGACCTGAGTACCCCGAGATTCCCGGGCCTGTGCTGGGAGTGTCCATATTTCCGACCACCAGAGGGAAGGGTCTGGCCTGGGCTACCAACAACACCGCGTGCGCCTGGCCCTCCAGGCCGCCCAGCCACCGCCGGCGTCGCCTATCTCCCAGGCAGAAACCAACCAACACCAATGATTCCCTTATTTCCCAAACTGGGGAATAAGGAGCAGGGGTTAGGAGGAAGGCGGAAGGGGGGAGGGGATAGGGTCGAACCCGTTGGTTTTTTTTACTTCAAAATTATATATTTTATGTCACAATCACTTTTCGTTAAGACCACAAACATCCAATTTGGCTCGGCGTAATAAAATCAGCCGGAGCTCCCTTAAACGGAGCCATTGCAGAGAATTAAGTTGTGAAATCTAATCTATTATATCCATAAAGGAGAATGCTTTCATTGTAAATTCAGGTTATAAAGAAACTATACCTGGGCCGCCAGCCTCCTTTCGGATTTGCTACTTGAAGGCTTATCAAATTACTTCGAAATGTTGGGCTCCCCTCTCTATCTCATGGCAACCAAAATTAAATGTGGCAACATTTCTTTAATACCCAAGGTCGGAAACAACTGGTTCAACAATAGGATATAATTTTTAAGACATCTCCATTCGCGTTGGGAGGCACCCTGCTTCCCCAATTATCTCAAGTTTTTAAAAACTAAACGCAAGAAGGCTCCTTAAATTCTCTCCTGCTCAGGCGGAGGGCTCTGGGGTGCAATCCCGGGTGGATCGCACGTGGACCGCACACACCCGCGGCTCGGACCTGCATCAGCCGCATTAGGCGATTCTTGGCGCGGCACACTTGAGGGACCGGCGCCGCGGAGCCCGGCTTCCGCGCCCCAGCCCCAGGCGCCCCGCTGGCTCCAGGACTGGCTGGACCAGACAAAGGAGTAGCCAAGGAGGGGTTAAGCCTCCCCTCACCCTTCTCAGAATACACTCTTCCAGGCAGCTGGAGCAAGGGAAACGTAGCACCCTAAAATCTCTCGGTTTTGCATGCCGGGTGGCGGCATTTGCTGCCCTTCCCGGGAGGGAGTTGGGCCCAGGCCGGCCCCTCTCCCTCGGACGCCTTCTTCCATTTCTGAAAATTAATTAACTCCGGGCTTGGGCTGGGGCGTCCTGGGCTGGCCAGAGTGGGGGGTCACCAAGGACTCTCTGCCCTCGATCTCAAAGAGGGGTGTTTGGGGGACGTCGAGGAGATCGATAAGTTTCTGGATTCCCAGGGAACCGGCGGACGTGGCTTTTGTCAGGCCTGCGAAAAAGATTTATGAGGCGCCGGCGGAGTGTTGGGCCGGCTTCGCCCGGGCGGCCAACGCACCCGGTCTAATCTTTGATTTCCATCTAATTATTTTTTTTTCCTGCCACCTTCAACTCAGTGTCCGGAGAGGCGAACAAAGGGATGAGGATGGGGGATGGGAAGGCAGGCAGCGGCGGCTCGGGATCCCCCCCATCAGCTTGGAGCCCCCAAGACGCCCGAGGCTCGTGCTTCTGTGAGCGTTCCGGGCGGCGGAGAGAGGAAGGGTGGCCGGACAGGAGCCGAGACCGTGGGCGACTCGCCACGGGGCCTGGGTGGGCGTTGCAGTCCTCAGAAGGGGCCCAGAGCCTGAGCCCAGCAGGGTTTCTAGGGCAGGATCCGTGGCGCGGGAAGGGCTGGGGGGGGAGCAGCTTTCCCCTAAATTGCAATTAATCGGGGAGTTGGTGGGGGGAGTCAGCCCTTGGAAGAGGCGGCACAGGAAGGATTTCTTTTACCCCCGCCCAGAAAAAGAGCTGCACAAGCGGGCGCCAAGAGCGAAACTTGAATTTTTCATGTTGGCGAGAAAAAAAATCCGAAGTAGAAAATGATTTTATTGGTCACTACCCATAAGTCAACTAAAAACAGGGATAATTAGAGAGTGGGGAATTCAGGGGAGCCATAAATCCGCGGCGCCTTCTCCATCGGCGTCGGGAGGCTTTATGGCTTGTTGAGTTTTATTTTGAGAGAAACGAAGCCCCGCGTTTTGGTGGAAGCGGGACTACCGGCCGAGCGCCGCGCGGCAGCCGGACGCCCGGGTCTCCCTCCGGAGGGGGGCCAGTTAGGGCTCCCGCGGTCCCAGAAAGAGGGGCCTTCCCCAACACCGGGACCCTCCTCTCCACGGCGAAATCGGTGCCCAACCCGCCTCTGGGCAGGGGAGTCACGTTCTTCCTCCACCCAAACTGCGATGCAGACAGACAGTAGCTGTGCCTGGGGTCCCGGAGTTTTTATAACGAGATTCATTCCACTCGCGGCTTCCAAACGTCCGCCAGGTCCTGCTCGCTTGGGGGCCTTTTGTTCTAATTTACAGGGAGGAGGGGATGGAACAAACCAACACACAACAAAAAACAAAACCCACCTTACTTTGCAATCTTGCGCAAAGCGGCTGGGAGTGCTTTTCATTCCATGGGGGTTTTTACCCCACCGGCCAGAGGCCCCTTTCCTCTTCTGAAATGGTCGTCTCACGAAGCCACCCTTAGCAGACCGCGTAAAATCCCATTATCAGGTAAGACAGTGGGGGCACTTCTGACTCAGCTGCGGCTAATTTGGGGAGAAAAGAAAGTGAATTCTTCAGGAACTCCAAAATAAAAGCGCCCCTTTCCCTGCAACTCGCGCCAAGCTTCCCCTTTGTTTTAAACACGCACACAAAACCCTTGTCCTTCCTAGGAACGGGGGCGGGGAGAACGGCGCGTCCACATAGAGAAGAGCTCTCCCCCTAAAAACTGCTCTCCCAGGAGCTCTTTTGTTTGAAGTGGGTATGGGGGAGGGGACGGGACGGGGCCGCTCCAGGCCCGCTACCGGGCTCTTCTGACCCAGGAAAAAAAGAAAGAAAAGAAATCCTGCCTGCCGCGGGAGTCTCCTAACCGCGCAAATCTGAGGTTTCCGGGTCCAGGAGGGGTTCGTTCCTGGACACCCACCCAGCAGTAGCCAAGGCCAGGGCTCCCCACTGCGAGTTCCCCCCAAATGGGGCCCCTAGACCTCCAAAGTAAACAGCCCGGATCTGAAAGCGAGAACCCCGGGTTTCTGGGTGGGGGATAACCGTAAGAACGACTACGAACGAAACAGAGCCATAGTGCTGTGGTACCCAGGGTGTCCTGGGTGAATCCTGTGGGACTCAGAGGAGAGCGACGCGCGCGCTTCCACAGGGGCTTCCAGGCCCCGCGGTGCGGGTGGCGGAGAGCCCGGGAGGGGTACCCCGAGTTCGGCTGCCGTCCCAGTACCCCTCAGAAAGACACGTTTGCTGCGAAAATCTTGCACACACCTCCTAGGTTTTTATTCGTCCCCTCCCCAGAGTACGCTCCGGGCGAGCGGGAGACAAGGAGATCGCACGTACCTGGCGGCGCTCCGAGGGCAGTCTCGCGGGCCCTCCGTGGGCGAGGGAGCCCCCCAGAAGCCACTCCCCGCCCGGCTAGTCGCCCCAAGGCCTTTCCCTCCCTCCCCGGCCACGCACACCGCCGAGCTAATTCTCCGGGAAGCAGGAGCGGGGCACTGGCCCGCCTCTCCGGGAGCAGGATCCATTTTCTAGCGCCAAGGCCCGCGCCAGCTCTCAGGCCGCCGCCCGCGCGCAGGGTTCCCCGTGGCCCTTCCTCGGGATCAGGAGAGAGTGGTGCGGCCTGGACGCAGGGCTGCGGTTCGCGCTGCAGCTCCAGGCTCCCGCGCGCCCTTCTGCATCCAGGCTCCTGCGTGTCCACGTTCCCAACGGCGAGACCGGGACGAACTCTGAGGCCTCCGGGAAGAGGCGGCTGCAGCCGCGGTCCAGGCAGAAGCCCCGGGCGGGAGGGGTACCCGGCGGAGGGGCGGGCGAGCTACCAGCGCCCCGCGGCCACGGCCCTCGGGGGCGCCCAGCCCCACCCACGTGGAGGCCCCCGCCCCGCCTCCGCCAGGGCAGCATCCCCCGCCTGGTCCTGCGCGCCCGCCTAGCTCCGCCCAATCGCCTCCCGCAGCGGCCGCTCCCTTTGTCTGGGCAGCCGGTGCAAACCAATGGCGTCGCGTGGGCGGTGCGCAGCTTGGCCAATAGATGATCTAGGAGGTGGGGCCCAAGGGGAGGCTCTCCCGGGAGAAGATACTGCAAACCCGCAAGCTGCTGGACCCGGGCTCTGGGGCCAGAGTACGTCTACAGATTGGAGCTGGCTCTGCCATGGAAATTTGAATTTAGGATCCCTTTCCACTATCAGGAAAGATGCCCCAAAGTCGAGAAGGAAGTGTGAGAGGATGACGTCCGACCTGTGGAGAGCGGGAAGGCGGTTTAGACGGAGTCAGTCCCGAAGCCCCAGGGGACTTGATTTAGAACAGCCCTTTAGCACCCTGGTCACGCCTAGCCTTGCACTTTGAAATTCAGTGGGTACAGCGTCCCCGGAAGTCAGGAAGGTGCCCTGAGATCGAATGGTCAATAACGTGATGTTCTGACTCAAAGGCATCCCAGAGTTAGGGGAGGCGCATAAGCCCTCCCAGGGAGGCTCTAGTATTGGGGGCCACTGCCCCAGGATCACCTGAATGGGCAGCGACCCATTTGCCTTCTGAGCTGGGAAATAATAGGTCATGAAGGAGACTCAGACCAAAATGACCACAGCCAGAGAGAGCTACGTTGCTGGCTTGCCCCTAGACAGAGACAGTGAAGGAAAGCTCTCGGGTGTCCTCTCCACCGCCCTGTGGGGCAGCAGGTGCAGAAAAAAAAGCCCAGAGCCAAGCTGATACCTCCTCAACAAGCAAGCACACCGCGTCTCCCCCGGAAGGCTTTGAGTGGTAAACAGGAGAGTCCACTGCCTAGTCCTGCTCTCAGACCTGGAGGTGTTTCCCAACCTTTTCTCATTTCCTACACCTTGGCTCAAAGTGAAATCACAAACCAAGTAGAAAAGGAAACAGCCCTCTCGTGTGGGGGCTGCAATCTGCTGCCGCCAATGGAAAGCTGAGCTCTGGAAGTAAATGAGGTGCATTACATCCCTGGCCCCGCAGGGCTCCACCTGAGAACTATCAATCCCCACATCTCCCACGCTGTTGTCACAGAAGCCAACATCTAATTCCTTGTTGCTAAAGGCAGTACTCAGCCACCTTTATGGCTCTGTTTTGAAAGTCCTCTTTTCAAAAGTCCAGGGATACTGAGATGGCCTGTGGCTAACTGAAGGGCAGACTGTAGCACTCAGAAGCTGTGGTTGCAAGCCACAGACCTGATCAATATGGCCTCCAAGCTCCCAGGGATTACGCATCCCAGGCTGGACACAAACTGGATTTTGAGACCAAGAGGAATTGAATCAAGATAATGATCTAAATGATTCCTAACAGCCTCCCTTCCCACCCTCAATCCCTAGAAATGATAGAAAATTTTAAAACTCGATTACAATCAGAGAATAAGGATGGTGCCCGTGGAGGCAGGAGAGGGCAGTGCTCCTGTGGGAAGGGAGCCTTGGTGCACAGAAGGAAAACTGCTGGCCAGTAGGAGGCCCAGGGAGAGCTGCTCAGAGGACGTCGTGGGATCCTGGGATAGCGTCCGTGGAGACATTCTCTCCCTGGTCTGTGCTCTGCCGCAGTGGCTGAAGCTAAACAGATACCACTGGAGAATAGCACCTGGAGGAGGAGATCTCCTGTCCACTCGCGGATGGACGCACCGAAACCTTACACACAAAGAGCAGGGCTGGTTAGAACCACTAACCGTGGCTGGAGAGGTGGCTCAGTGGTTAAGAGCACTTGTCGCACTGGCAGAGGACACAGGTTCATTTCTCAGCAGCTACATTGTGGTTCACAACTGTCTGTAACTCCAGTCCCAGGGGAATCCGGTGGCCCTCTTCTGACTGCAGAAACCAAGCACACACACTGTATGTACGTGATATAAACACATACATGCAGGCAAAACACTCATACACATAAAATAAATAGACCTCAAACAGTTTTTTAAAGGAGTCACTAACCTAAGAGAAGCGCCAAACAGGTCAACCTGAGACACTAACGCCTGTCACCACTGTCCTGTCTCCTTCCTCCCGTGGAGGGGGAAGGGGCGGTGGCTGGACTACACTTCTCAAGCTCCCTTGCAAAGAGTGCTCATGTGGGCAGCTTCCCCCAAGCTAGGAAAGGAGTAGGCCTCTTGCTCTGCTACACGCAGTGGCCATTACCAGAGTGACCCAAGAAGTTTCATGTGGAAGGCAAGACCAGCACCAGTGTGGGAGCACCAGTGACCTTAGGTGTTGAAACTAAAAAGAGGGCCCTGGCCTTACTTCTAAGAGGAATCTTGGCTTTTGCTTGGACTGTTTACCCCCAGAGTCTGTGTGTTCAGGCAATTAAACTTACAGTTATTTCAGCTTAAATTTATCTTAGGTTAAATGTCTGAGCCTAGGTCTTAATTCTATGACTACTTCTTCTTTTTTTTTTTTTTTGAGCTGAGGATTGAACCCAGAGCCTTGTGCTTGCTGGGCAAGCGCTCTACCACTGAGCGAAATCCCCAACCACTATGACTACTTCTTTACCACAGCGATAAGACGCCCTGCCCTTCCTCCCAACTTTGGGTTTGGCAATATGGCTGCCTCTGGCACATAGGATTGTTACCAGATGTGAAGTGGATAAAGCTTGAAATGTGCTAGCAAGGTCAGTCTTGTTCTATTGAATGTCAGGGAGCCGCTATGAGGAGATAGTCTCGAAGAAGAATGTACGGGGTGGACCTGGTCTCAGGAGGAGACAGCAGACCTCAGCACTTCAGCCTGTGAGTGTGAATCTGGCGCTGTAAGCCGTTTTCTGTGGTTCTCTAAGCAGCACTGTGTGGTGACAGCTAAGATTCTTGTCCTGACTAATACAGACAAGGGCACTGGGCAGAAGGAACCTTGAGCATGTGGTCCCAGCTTAGAGGTTGGGTTATGGATGGCAGGAAAACTGAGGAGGTAAAAATCACAGCATGCTTTCCTTGTTACCCTGCAGTAAACTGGGAAAAACTGAGAGAAGAGAGGCGAGAGCCAGGATGTTAGCCAGCTACCTGCCCCTTGCAGAAAATGAGGCCAGGTATAACCAAACGCACTTTGGTACTGTGGAGTCACAGGTTGGAAAGGGCACTGTTTAAACCTCCAGACCTGTAGAAGTGGTTGTTATTGTTCTGAGGCCAATGATGAAGGCAGCTTGGTCTAGTGAAAGGACTTGGCCTGCTTGGGCAGGATGGCTCCACAGCTCAAATTCCTGTTGATAAGCTTGATGACCTGAGTTTGATCCTGCGACCCACAAGTTGTCCTTTGGCCTCTGCACGGATGCCATGGTACTTGTGTGTGCACAAGTGCATGCAGGTGCACACACACACACACACACACACACACACACGAGACTTAGGCCTGCAACAACCCCAGATTAGTACTCAGACAGATTACAGGGATGGAGAAAGTAGCAGTTAACTGAATAACGCGTCCCCTGCTGGTTGGAGAGACTCTGTACTTTAGTTCATCTCTCTAAGACAGGATAGCCATTTTTTTTTAAAGATTTATTTATTTATTATGTATACAGTGTTCTGTTTGCATGTATCCCTGCAGGCCAGAAGAGGGAGCCAGATCTCATTACAGATGGCTGTGAGCCACCATATGGGTGCTGGGAATTGAACTCAGGACCTCTGGAAGAACAACCAGTGTTCTTAACCTCTGAGCCATCTCTCCAGCCCAGGATAGCCATTTTTTAAAATGTGTTTGAGGATGCGGGCACTCACAGATATCAGGAGGCCAGAAGAAAGACTTCTGAATGTCCATCTTTCCACCCAAAGGTGTACTTCTCATAGGTACTCTGGCTGGGCTACATTTCTGGTTTTGTTGTAATAGGTGTGGTCACCACACAATGTAGCAGGTACACTGTCCCTGTGCCAGGCACACATTAGCCTCTCTGATGCCCTCTTCCCACACTAGAGTGCAGACAGCTGCTTTAGATGCCACCTGGGTGATGGCAGGGCAGCCATCAGTTCTCATACCCTATTGGCTACTGGGAATGCTAGCCCCTCAACCAGAACACTTGCTTTGGGCAGGCCAGAAAGAACAGACTGTTGTGATGTCATGGGCATCCAAGCTTGGGGTCTACTGGATACAGAGATTTGATTTGCACTAACATGAGAAGAGTGAGTTTTCAAAACACCTGGGAAAAACTTCCAGCTACACTTGCAATGTTTTCTTTTTTTTTTTTTTTTTTTAAAGATTTATTTGTCATGCATATAGTGTTCTGGCATGTATCCCTGCAGGCCAGAAGAGGGCACCAGATCTCATTACAGATGGTTGGGAACCACCATGTGGTTGCTGGGAATTGAACTCAGGACCTCTGGAAGACTAGCCAATGCTCTTAACCACTGAGCCATCTCTCCAGCCCCATATAGGATGTCTTAAAACAGCACTAGGAATATTTTCAGAGAGAAGAATCGTAAGAACAGTGCAGCCAAGTGAAGTGGTGCACACCTATGAACCCTGCACTCAAGAGGCTAAGGCCGTGGTGTCATGAGTTCAAGGCCAGCCTGGGCTACTCAGTGAGTGTGAGACCAGCCCGGGCTATGTGGTGAGACTATATGAAATTGAACAATCATCAAGCTAAGGGTTTGGGAATGAAACTCCATGACCGAGTGTGGACAATATATGTGAGGCCCCGCCCTGGATTCGAAAAGAGAAAGAAAGAAAGAAAGAAAGAAAAGACAAAATAATACAATAATCTGGGGAATTGAATATTCTGGTGGTATTTTACTTTCTTCTTTACGATTTTATGTATTATTCAGAAATTTACAAGAATATATTATTTATGTATTCAGGAAAAAACAAAATCATGTTTATGTGAAATATAAAAATAAACTTAAAAAGATATTTTCCAAAAGTCAGCTAGATGTCTTGGGAAATAAAATATTTCCCCATTGAAATAAAAAATGCTCTTAGCAAGCCAAAGAAGAGGATGGGCTGGTCCACGGGTCATCAGTGAGGGAGGGGGTCAAG